CTTATTAAGTTAATATAAATTTTTTTTATATAAGTTAATATAAAAATTAAAAATATAATAATCACTTAATGTTACGAGAAAAAAAAAAGTTGAAATCAATGGGATAATTAATAATTATAGAAGGTGACAAAAAATTGAATAATTAAATTGGATAAATTTTTTAACACAATTAAAAAATTCCAATCCTTTAAGTGGTTTGGTATAAAGCAAACTTAGCTTTTTAATCTGTGCAAATTGGACTCTTAACCATTATCTACTAATCCGAAACCCCTAAATGAAAAATTTTACCAAACACCTACTTCATAATGGTGTAAAAATAAATAAATTTGCTAAATATCTATCTTATAACCATTTGAACAAAACCATTAGCCGCTACTCCTAGAATGCTATACTTATCAAACCCCTAGAGAAAGTCAGTGGAATTTTAATAATTTCCACTAACCTGCTTCTTCTCTTTCAATTTTTGATGTAAGATTACCAAACAACCGAAAGCAGAGAGTACAGTTTCACTTCACTACCTAAACTTTTTAAGAATTTGATAATTTAATGATAGAATTTCACTAAAACCTTTAATTAAGGAAATGGGTTGTTTCAGAACAATCAATGCATCATTGATTTTTATTTCCAATTCTTCCCTTCTAACTCATCAGAGATGGGGCTTTACTTTTCAATAATGAGAAATTTGAATATACTGAAAATTTTAAGAAGGATAATTTTGGTAATTAAGTGTTTTATATACGAAAATGATATTTATTTAACACGTGGCATTCTAAGATGTAAATATGTTGTGTCATTCTATGTATAGAAAATATAACAAATTATTATGTATAGAAGAAATTAAATCATGTAAAAGAGAGAAGAAACTGACAGAAAGATGGATTGAAATATTACTGAATATATTAAAATTTTTATATAAGAAGTTTTTATATAGAGATTTAGGAAACCTAGTGACTAAGAAACCCTAAATCTAATATACTAATAATAATATTTTATTACCATTAGTTATGTGGTCTAGTGGTAGAGTTACCGATGCTCTTAGTCATAGATTTAGGGTTCAATCCCTAGTCTCTATGTATAAAAAGATAAACAATAATATTTTTTTTGTCCATGTAAAAACTCACATATATTACACTGAAATAAGAAAGTATTACATCCCATATAGGTCCCTAACCAAAGATAAACAAAACGCGACAACTTAAAACAAAACAACTAAACAAGAAAATAAATCAGCTGGAACCACCACTGCAGCCATAGAAAGAAGATAAGGGATCTCTTAGGTTGTGTTTAGGATTGCTATGAGGTTGTGCGGCACTGGCCTTTTCAGTATTCACTATGAGAAAAAACTATTTGTTTGATAATTACTTTGAAAAGAGTCTTATACATTAATATGACCACTAAATTATACAAAACATCAATTAAAATTAATTTAATCATAACTAATTAATAATTTTATGAGGTGTGTGAAAAGGCATGGAAAGCAACTCCAAACACAACTTTAACCTCAGAGTTACACATATTCCTCTCCACAATAACTATCTTTCAGCATGTGCTCAACACCACCAACCCCAAAACATAGTAGGAAGCCGCAAGAATAAGCAAGAGAACTTGTGAGGGATTACTGCATTGAAATGCTAATCCATATCACCTGAAGATCCTGGAAACTTGCTAAAACCACCGCAGCCTTGAAGAGCAATCACCTGACTATCCTTATTAAGGTATAACCCCCACAATAGCAGCCTCTTATGCATCCAGGTTCTAAGATAAAGGAATTATGCCCTAAGACAGCAAATAAACCCCCCATCTCATGGACCATACTCCAAAAGCACATACCAAGAATAGCCAGACTAACAACTCTCCAAGTAAGATCAGCCACACAGAAACTAAAAGAGAATGAGTTTTTTTGGGATTTTCCAATAAAGGACAAAAGGAAACAAGCTAAGATAAGTTGAGTCCAGAAATTACCTCACTTTCAGTCATGAAAAACATGATAAAAGAACTACCTACTCCTCT